ATTGTTTACAGTGTACTCTCTTTTTTGATGAAGTGGTTGTTTTGATGTACAAGGTTTCTGCAAGAGAACAGAGGACAGGTACACTGAGCTTTGTTGATATGAGCCTTGTGGGCCATTATGGAGCTTTTTTGTTACTTTGTTCTAGCACCACCATATAATTCAGCAGCACCTTAATTTATTTTCAGGTCCTACAAGGGATGGTTTTTTTTTCTCTTCTGACAAATATAAATTTTTGACTGCTGATTTAATGAGCAGTAAATGTGATGGAGTACAGTCATAGCACTTTGCACAGGTAGGTATATTGCAATCTATATTTACACAAACATATATATCATCCATAGTTATGATGCAAATATGCACATTTTAGAAAAAAAAAATAATATGTCAGTATAAACAGAAACATACATAACACACATGTCTACATATATTGACCAATACACTTTAAGTGTAGTCAATTTTTTTTGTTAAAAATAAGTTATTAAATGCCACTCGAGTAAGTAGTTTCATACATTGGATCACTGTCAGAATAGTATTTAGATGAATTTTTGTACACATCTTGTTATTCTGTATAATCTAGCAGTCTCCATATTAATTCTTAAGGTGACTATATTAGCTGCAAAACCTTATTTAAAAATGTTTATCAGAATATATGTGTATGTCTATACCTAACATAAATTGCACAAAAAAGAGTTATATTTGTTCATTAAAACATTGATGTCTGTATGCTAGCTAATGTTAAACAAATTTAGGACCTGAATTGCTGTGCTTTAATTGTGCAGGACTTAGGAAAAATGTTTTCCCAAGTAGAGATTGATACACAACACTGCAAAAGTGACCTAGGGTAAAATTCAGTTTATAACTTCTAAGATCAAGTTGGATCAAACTAACGTTTTGCTTATTTTTAGAATTTTCATAGTTTAAAAACAAACAAGGTAAGTTTTCTTGTATCTCAAATAAAACAAATGACATTGCATTAAAGATGGTGGACATTTTTATCAAGAAGTCCCCAATGGAAGAGATGCTGTGCGGAAATTCCCTATTGATCAGATTTAAACTTCCACATATACCAACACAGGAAGCAGGAGGCCTTTTGACACCAGTTATATAACTCCTGCAAATGAAGGACTACATTACAGAAATAAACATAATCAAACGTTTGCCAATGTTTGCTTGGCCTCTATTTCGCAGTTTGCTTTCATACCATACATTGTTAGCAATAAAAAGAGATGACATCTTGCATGGGAGCCTTGGCTCTGGAAAGTGCTACAGAAGAGCAAGGGCACAAATATACTTGTTGCTATTTTTTTAAGGTTCAGGGAGAAAAACTTTTTTGTATCCAAAATTATATTTGGTATTTTACAAACTGTTTAACTGAATTAAGAAATTATTTTCTGGAATGTTGGGAAGATCTGGTTTGTTCTTCTATCAGGAAATTACAATGGCTTGTTATAAACAACAATAGCAATAGAGCAACATACCAAATACTCTAAATGATGAAGTACTGTTGATTTTAAGAGCTATCAGTTAGAAAATGAATAAGAGAAAGCAGGGACTATGCAGCAGAAACAGCTATGATTTATGTCAATGCTGTTATAATCACATCACAGTACAGTTTTGTTCTGAATAACTCAGTTTAATACTTTGTGTACTCATATTTATCATCCATCTCTACAAACACAGAAACAATGTTTTTATCAAATTATGATGTGTTTGAGTTGAAATAGATTTAGCACAGATTACAGTTTTAAGTCACTAATTTTAACTTACATAGTTAAGTATTACACAAAAGATTAAATAATAAGCAAGGAAACAAGTCACACAGGGTTGCACGATTTTTGTCTGGAAACCATAAAAATAATGAGAGTCATTACCCTCTACAACTTGTTCAAGAAAATTGGTAGTGACTTTGAGGTTTAGAACATTTGTGAAATTTTTACTGTAACTTGTCATGTTGGACAAAACTTATTATCCCACTTAAAAAGTAAGAGAAAGAAGCAATTTAAATATTGTTGCATTGCTTACATAACTGGAATATTTGAAGAGCTGAATAACTGTTAAAATCATGAGTTAAAGAACTTGGCTTCATTCACTTAGCTTATTAGTGATTATGCACTTTTAAAGACATTTCACAGTCAGTTCATTAGTGATTAAGAAAAAAAACTTAAAATAGCATGAGCACAATGCTGAGGACACCACTGCAACAAAATATAAGACAAGGTTTCTCAGGTGTCCTCAGAAACTACTTTGTTTCAGAAACTATTTTGTTTTATGAAGATCTTTGTGTTCTGGGAAACCTGTAATTGCCATAAATAAATAATAACAATAAAGCATTTAATGATATCCATTAGACCTTTTCTCCAAGTAATTGTTCAAGACTTTCTTTGAATTCATTAAAACATTTTGAATTTGCAGTGTTATTCTGTGAGAAGTGAGAAACACACTGAATGAACAATGCAGTCTGACACTGAACTCTGAAGTCTATAGAATATGGCCTTGAGTTAAGCTCTAACCAAAAATAGTGGTTGAATTTAGTATAGGCAGTGCCAAAACAACAGAAGTGAACATGTACAAGAGGAGGACTACTAAGATAATCAGAAGGCTGAAGCACCTCTCCCTTGAAGACAGGCTGGGAGATGTGGGGCTGTTCAGGATAGAGAAGACTGTAGGGAGATCTTGTTGCTGCCTTTCAGCACTTAAAGGGTTCAACACTAAAAGATGAAATCATTTTCATCATATGAAAGATGGAGCAAGAGCTATTACCAAGGCCTACAGTGACAGGACAAGGGACAATGCTTTTAAACTATAAGAGGGTGGAGTTTAGATCGAACATAAGGAAGACATTTTTTATTATGAGGGTGGTGAATCAGTGGAACAGGTTGCCCCAAGAAGCTGTGGATACCCCATTGCTGGAAGCGAAAAGATGAGAATTTTTACAACAGTAAAAACTTTTACTTATAAAGAATTATATGTAAGTATCTTTTTCATGAAAAAGTATGAAATTTTAAGTAATGTCTTTGTCTTTAATAGTAAGCATCTGAATTCATGGGACACTTATTAGGATTGAGTACAGTCTGAACTCACAAATGTATATGTAAATCTTAATAAGATATAGATAATTTCAAGAATCGCGTCTTGTCGATATCACCTGGGGAGTCTTTCCTCTGTGCCTTTTGCAAATGGACTTGTCTATCACGCACTGGCCTTTTTAGCCATCAGTGAGCTTGTAGCAAGCATGGGTAGAGCCCTTCCCAAATCTTCATTTGAGAAGCCTAGCCATGATGGCGATCATCATCATAGATAATTTAATTTAAATTTTATTCATGTTTTTCTTGTCCTGAAAACTTGTTTCTGTTTTTCATTGTTTTCTCAGAATTTTCTTGGAAAATATATTTTGATTTCCTGCTTCATATGAACTCTGTAATTAAGTGAAGAAATAATGCTTTTAGCCCTTGTGACTATGCATGTCTAGTTTATGCCTCAGTATATGTCAGATTAGCAATATTGTTAAAGAACATTCCAGCATAGACACAACTTACACCTGCCAAAATCATAACGAAGATATCTGAGTAAATTCTTGGCTAAGAAAATTGCAGCTTTCATCTTTCCATAAAATGATGGTGACTGTGTAATACTTTTCCCGTTAGGCACTCATTACAATGTGGTTGACAGATTAGAACAGATTTTAGACAAGTTTTCTCCCTATGTTTTTTTTGGCAATTTTAACTCTAGCAGTCACTTGGAAGAGATTATGTTGCTTTTTACTGTATTGTTTCTCTTCTAATGGAATTGACATCCTCATCTCACACTGCCTAATGCCTAACATGTTTATGTATTATATATATAAAATATTATTGAAGGGTGAGGAAAAGTTCACTTTTTTTTTTTTTTTACTGAGCCACTGCATTTTAATTCCATTGCAATGATTTTTTGTGTAATACTTTCTAAACTTATAGTCCCATTTCACTGATAAATCATTCAAGGTTATTTGCTTAACAAAAAGAAACATATATACACAAGTATTTGAACTTCAAATTTATGACTCTTTGTGCGAACAAACAACAAAAGACAGTGGGAAGAATAAAAGCGTTCAGATTAGCAGAGTAATGTGGTGGGAAGGCTTGACTTAAAATAGAATATAAGAGCATATTCTGGAACCAAAAGGGCATTTTCAACAATTGCTGGTGGCAATGTTGCAGCATCTCAAAGAAAAACAGGTACTGAAGAGAAGTGGAACTTAAAAGAATTTCACATTCTCACATAACAGCAGTGTCAAGTAGTAGCACTAAAGCCTGCTTACATTTTAGTACTTGCCAGCAATTAGTGCAATTGTCAACATAGGCTCTCAGTGATTTTACTGAGATTTGGACTTGCAATAATATAATCTAGAAATTGATGCCATACTATTTACTGGGTAAAGTAAACTCTTTCATCACTTATACTGAGCTTTTTTAAGGCTAATGGGAAAAGCTGATGGGTGAGACGTACAGACTATGGTTGATTTATCCTTTTACAGACACCTGAACAAAACCATCTAAAACAGAAACTGGGAATTGCTATAATAGCATACACTCCCACTCATGAAGCAAGAGAAGAGAATGGAAGGTTATTTTCAAAGCTCATAGATCATCCTGAAGCCAACATTATTTCTTCTCAAAACCAAGGACACATCAGCAAAAGAAACATCAAACTCAATCACTGTGGGCTTTCATGTGAAATTAAAGAATCAAGATCTGATGCTTGTTTCAGACTGATATTGGTATTGATTTTTCAATAACAAGCACATAAAGAACAAAACTTCTCACATAATTAGAAATCAGTCCTGAATTTAAACTAAAGCATGAGACATCTGACAAGTGATGATCTGTTTCTAAGAAAAAGAGGAGGACATTTTAAGGATACTACTTTTAAGGATACTGCTTTTAAGGATACTACTTATCTCAAAATATTAGGAAAAACAAGGAATAATAATAGTGTTATGGAAACAGGTCTTAGAAGTTTACCTTTGTGGCAGCATCAAAACAAACAAAGCCCATGCTAAAGTCAATGGTAAGTCCCATAAGATGACTCTCCAAAACACACGCATATGTCTTGCACTGCAAAGGAAAAACCAGAGAAGGTAGTCACCACAGAATGCATTTCCTAAAAGACTTTCTAGAACCACTATTTCTGTTTCTTTATTCTAATGTTTATGTTTCTCAAAATTATTATCAGAAAAGAGTAATTTGTGTGCAAATACATCGATTTATTGCCAGTGTATTACAAATCAAAGAATTTTTGTCAATGATGAAGTTGTCTAAGTAATGTGAAAAGAGGCTTTCCTTCCATTAGGGAAAAAGTGAAACTGAACAGAATCAACTCTGCGGCTTATCAATGAAAATTGCTAAAAGCAGTTTTATTATTCACAAACCCTCTTATTGGTTTTTCATACCCAGTAACTTTTAACATTAATATAATCTTTTTAGCTTTCTAGGAAAAAAATAAATCATATATAAAATATTTCTTTGGTATGCTGTTTCTTGTGGTTCTGTGTTGTCCAAAATCTCAGTGAAAAAGGTAGTATTTCATACAATTTAGCAACTTATGTAATCATATGAAATACCTTTTTTGCTTCAGCTACTAGACCAATATATCTCAAATATTTCTATGATAAACCTTGAAATCCTGAAAGACTTTCTCATTCCACAATTTTTAAATATATGCATCTATATATTTCCATAACATCACACTTCAACACATGCCATGAGACACTTATCAAAATAATTTTCAGGATCAAAAATATAGCTCTGCTTGGAGGTTGACTTCAGGTACAAAATGACAGACTTTTATTTTTCATCACAAAGTATGTAAAAAAAAAAAAAAACATTTCCAATCTGATGCAAGTTCTTTAAAGAAAACATTCTTATTTTATAGACATTTTCCCTCTAGATTAAATTAAATATAGGCATATTCTTCAAAAGTTGATGCAGCCACTTAAAGTATGAAATGAGAAAAGAGACTTCCATGATCTATAAAGAGTCAGAGGATCAAAATACAAACTGTAAATATAGGAACAATGTGAGTTATTTAATTGCTAGTATTACAAAAGTACCTATGATGATTTTTGGCATTTTGATTATCAAGGATAAATCAAATGCCTTTACTTATATATTCTTTGGCTGGGCTCTTTGGATTCTAAATGGTGTTCCCCAGAGTACAAGAAGCTGAAATGTACATTGACAGCTTCTAACTGTTGAAATTCACATGGCAATGAGGGAAAATTGAAAACTTCATTAGCTAGTTTTCATATTAGCAAATAAAACTGGATTTTTTTTCCTTAGATCAGCTACACCATTAAACTGCTATGAATATGTAAACTTTGTAAATCAATGCTATTGAAAAGGAGTATATTGTCTTTAGCACCATCTCATTAGTAAAAAAAAGGAGTGTAAAATAATATATTTTAGTTACTTAGTGAATTCATATATGCAAACATTTTCAGGTTTTGCATGCAAAGTAAAAAATGTAGTTTTGTAGAACTATCTTGCAAACTTCTGACAAGACGCAAACTACATTTTTATTCGTAAACCTCGAAGATTTGGAACAGACTTAGAGCCTCTACCAGAAATTAAATTTTGGCAAGGAGACATTATATCAGATTTAAAATACATACTGTCACCCAAAGTCAACTAACTGCACACCTCAACACCAGACGTGAACCTACAGTGTGCACTGCATCACCATGCTGAGCTGGCACAGCTACCTTTGCTTAAGCACGGCACTGTGCCTGTTCTAATTAGCCTCACTGGAAAGTTAAGATTTATGAGAAACAGGACATAGTCTTGGTTCAAGGTTGCACTGAAAAACCACATTGCTTCCTCGACTGAAGGTTCTTTCTACAGAAGGCAGCGCACAGTTGATGAAGTATCATCTAGTTCTGCTCAGTGTAGTTATTTGTGGGAAGAAACTGCAGACCACCAGTGGCAGCTGATGCTTTACTTATTCTTTACTTATATTTAAGACCATTCTATGGCCCTTGGACCATGTATTCCATGATGTTCAAAATAACTCAGAGAAGCAAAAATGTAAGAATAACAAAAAGATCTCTAGACAGTGAGATTTTAGTTTCTTTGGGGAATAATGTCACTTTGTTAATGTATGTGTTGCATGCACTTGCATATATTTCTGGATCACAGGTCAGAGTAGGAATGTGAACTTTTAGACACTAATTAACTCTGTTAAGATTCTTCTCATCTTTATTATCCTTAATCTGTCTTTTAATTTGGCCATTTGAGAAAACAAAAGATGCAGAAATTGTTCCCCAGATACATGACAATTTAAGTTTTCCTTTATTTTTAACAAATATTTTAAAACTCTAAAAGTGAATATTATTAATATATACTGTAGATATTTGGCTTTGGTTGCTTATTTCTCACAAAAAGCTCATGAAATCTTTATCAGAACTGAAGCATCCCCCTCCCAAAAGAAGTAAAATACACCAGCACTCATTTTTTGTTCTCTCACAGAATACAGAATCTTAAGTAGGGTTTATGAATAATTCAATGGATCAGGCAGGGTCTGAAGGAGACAAGCCAAAATTGTTTCTTAGATTTTATTTCCTCAATACATAGAGTTTAAATTATGGAAAAAACAATACATTGAGAGCTTAGTTTAAGCTATCTTTGAAGCTGAAGGAAAACATACTATAAACCTAAGACTTAATTCAGACTTTCAAACTCAGATGCAACTTCATTGGAGGCAAATGTTAAAGTACTGCAACATAAAACTGCTTACATAATAATCCTTATATTAGAGAGCAAATAGCTACAATACAAACAAAGACAGCAATAAAAAAATTCACAATGGAAGAGGTGAAAATTTTAGCTTAAAGTAGCAGGAACACAAAGGGAACGTGACCAGTCATATATAATTGCACATCATTATGCAAGCCATAGCATTCTTAGACTCTTGGTACAACAATGCTGTGAGATAGTAAGGAAACAATCTTCAACTAATTTTTCTTTCTTTTAATAGGTAATAAGGAAAATGGTTAGCATCACTTACTACACTAAACAAAACTAGCGGAAGGGCGGCTGTAACACACCAAAATAACACCACTACATTATTGTGTTGTGTTCTTAAATTATTACCAGTTTGATGATGTCTTCTCTAATACATTTATTTTCTAAAAAAAAAAAATCCCCAATTTATATATTTATAATGAGGCATTTAAAAATATTTTAATTCATTATAAGTTCTTTGGAATTAGATCAGAATAGGGCCCTTATTAACCTCTTGTGGAGGTTAATGCCAAATTAGAATCACTGACTAACTGTTATTATTGGTATGATTATGGAATAGCTGAATAATTTTAAAAGGCAGCTTTAAACTGCAGTTATATTTTGAAAATCGTATGACTTTATTGTAGGGCAAACCTGCACACAGATGGATTATCATTAGCATTAAATATGAATATTCATATGAATATGATTTCATAAGTCCCAATTTCAGTAAAATTGTACAGGTGATACCTTAATTTTGAACTTGCCACCTTTTTTTCTTTTCTCACAGAGCAATGAAAGAACTTGGAGACAAATTAACCACCAGGTTTTATCTGCATCTTCAAATTGCTGGATGAAAGCACAAATGGTTGTTGAAAGAAAAATGAGGAGGCCAAACTCAGTTATATTAAAAATTTTCTACTTTTTTTTTAATTGAGATAGAGAAAAGTTGAAATAATGAGCTCCACAATAATAATCTATCATGAGAAATCTGTTCATCCGCCTTCACAGATTTGCTAGAATCAATCAATCAATCAATCAATCAGCCTCAGGAAATCATTACTTTGAGCTCTTAGTTGCTGCTCTGAACTTCAGAAGAGAGAAAAGAAAGGTGCAAAGGTTAATATTAATATGAGGTTAAGGTTATCAGCAAAATTATTTGGGGCGAGAAGCATGAGAACAATTTTGAATAAATGTAATTCTAAAACCCAAAAGAAAAATCTAAACTAGGAATGCCATAGTATAATTCAATATTAGAGTAGAACAAATGGGATGTGGCTTCTGGGCTAAAAATTATTCTAGAAAAATGCCATATATTCTTTTATTCATGGTACAGTAGTGCTTCTACAAACTATGTTGCAGCCATTTACATAAGGTAAGAAAAGTTTCAGTAAAAGGTAACAGAGTGTATGAAATAAAAAGTTGAATCTTCTCCAGCTCCTCCAACAAAGGTAATATGCGTTAAAACTGACAGCAGTGTAGTCTTTCCAAAATGGATCATCATTAGTATATACTAATTGAGTCTGTCTGCATGTGGTGGTTCATAGGTCAGAACAGGACTAATCTATAACTAACTAACAATTTGTCTGAATAAAAACATGTCAGTGCTTGCATTCCCAGGAGGACACCGAAAACGCATGAGCCAATACTTGCACAGGTTAATATGCTAACATAACTCCTGTAGGTGTGTATAACTCATGGTAACATCAACTAAAGCTGTTCTAACCCCTCGTACATTTTATGAGTAGAACATAAATGTAATAACTAGGATTAGGTAAGTTATAACTGTGGGGGGTGTTTTTTTCTCTTATTTAAAGTTAAAAAGTCATGACTTTTTGCTCATTTGAGAAAAACAAAGTTATCTTGAAACACTCTCAAAGGTAGTTTTGCTACAAAAATTCACTAGTCAGTGGCACCTGAATGTCATCCATCTCTGCTGTCATCTGACAATTGAGTAAATGCACAAGAAACAAGAAATGTGTGAAGGAAGACTAGTGTATCTGAGGCACAATTTTGTTCTTCCTTGTATCCAGTGAGAACTTCATTCAGTGTACTCTCATTCCCATTATTACAAGGACAGTTCCTGCAAAGTTCTCTTGTGAAATCCAGTAGCAAATAGGGTAGCATGTAAGAGCGTAAGAATATCTAAACAGCTGCTTTTTGTCCTGATTGCTCTGCTGCATCTGTCCATGAACTTAACAAATATGTATCACCAAGTCATAATATCTTGAAGACTGTATTTGAGGTGAGCTCTTCTGAATGTTAGATCACAAGCTGTTTGGGAACACCAAGAGGGTTCTTATGCAATTACTTACTTAAACAATAATAATCTGAGAGTTGCAGAAGGTCAGAAAATTTCTTAAATTGCATCATTATTTCATACGTGCCTAATTGGTTAACGTACCAAAAAGTGATCAGGAGTTGTTCTCACCTGTATCCGTTCAACTTCTAAAAAAGTTGCTGTTTGGAAGGCTTTTTCCCATAGTGTTAGGTCAGACTCTAGCTCCACAGAAAAGTAAAGATCTTCTCCAGATTCAGACTGGACACTGAAGCAATGTTTCCGCCGGTCCAGTAGATCACTGTCCTGATGAAAACCTGAAGTTATATAATCTGGCATACATCAATTAGTATTTTTTTAATTGCAAACATCTATGCCTCAAACTCATAATTTTTAAATGGCATTTTCAATGCTAGTAGTAACTACTGAGAGCTGAGGAACTGAAAATTAGGGTTTTAGTCTAAACATTGATATTTCAAGGAATTTAAAACAGGACATCTATATGCAGAATGGTACAGAAGCACACAGTATATCTCTGGCATAACTTTGAATATTTTAACAAATCACTTCTCATAAATGTTATCAGCATACACTTTTAGATTAGATAAAATCTATAAAAGGTGTCCACAGCCTATTCACATGAGGAACACTTCTCCGACCCATTTGACTTACCCACTCTACTCTGGAACTTTGGTGAAAGACAGACAGAGACTTAGTTTAAGCAGTATGAAAAGTCTATCTGTCCTATTTTTCCTATAGAGAGTAGAGAAAACAAGTTCATATTTCTGGTGGCATACAAAATTCAACTTAGAATTTGTCTTTAAATGGATACTGCCAGTAGAGACTACAGTGGCTGCCAGTGGTTAGTTTGCTGGCTTTGAACCTGGAGGAGAAAGTTACTTTTGGCTTTACTTTCAACACAACACCACAAAATGAATATCAGGTTATAAATATTTAAGAATGATTACTAGCATCTGTAATTAGTACTAAACAAAGGAATAAGCAAATTAATCAGGAAATTCATTCACTAAAATGTTTTCAAATATTTATTTATTTATGTATTTAACATCAGATGCTTTATGCTAAAATTCTGCCACACAATTTGTCCTTGAGAAAAATATACTTGCAGAAACAAGTTTAATTTATTTTTGTCCCTGCCATGCCACAGGTCACAATTTCATCCGCTGTCCTTGTCAATACATCTGGAAATTTGGGTAAAAGTAGCCTGGGTGCAATTTCTACAATGCTACCCCACAGCAAAGGACACAGTTAAGATCAGTAAAGGACAGTACAGGACAGTATTGCTTTCTATTTATACACAACTTGAATAGACCAAGAGGAGCATAATAAGCTGATACAAACTGGAAGAGCACCTTACATTGTTTAAGTCATCTCTCCTTGGGGCAAAGAACCAGTAACCTAAAGCTGACTGGAACAGAAATACATAAAACAGAAACCTGTCTGAAAATATTACTCTCAGGCATTCGAGTAGGCAATGGTAGAGTATGCACTACTTTCCCCTTTCTATTTATTCAGTAGATGTGTGACAGATCTCTTCAAGAAAGCCAGTACAGCATTCATGAATGCTTCTGGTTCGAGACTGCTTTACAATTTCTAGAAGAATCAGCTATGGAGGCAACATACCCTCTCTTTGCAATCACCATGACAAAAACAAGTTGCTAGGATTTTTAAAATGACCAGTCGCTGTGGAATAATCTCCTTCCTTACTTCCATCAAGTCCTAAGCTTAGTAGCTCAACTGCATTAAGTCATGTATGGAAAAATCAGCATGAACACATAATATTCCAAACAGCATTTCCAAAAAATATTACTATTATCACAGATTTTTCTTCCAAATATTCAGAGGGCTGTGTAATTGAACTACTTAGATGTAGCTGAATAATAGCCTAGGTCTTAAAACAAATTCTTATGACTCTTTTTTTCTCCTTTTTTTTTCCTTTCCACTCAGGTCCTTCTGCTAAAACTAAAGTGTTAATTCTGCTCACAGTATATTCTGACCAGCATTCATAAAGAGGTTATGATGTCTAGGTTGTTGTTAATGACATCTATGCTCCATTGCACTCACAGCCTCAAAGTGCACAGAGCAGCAGCAGGGTTACAGATGTTTAACCTTGAAGGTATGTGTAGTGACATAAAACTTAGAATCATAGAAGGGACCTCAAAACCATCTAGTTCCAACCCTCTGCCATAGACAGTGACACCTTTCACTAGACCAGACTGGTCAAAGCCCCATCCAACCTGGCCTTGAACACTTCCAGAGATGGGGCATCCACAACTTCTCTGGGAAACCAGTTCCACTGCCTTACCATCCTCACAGTAAAGGATTTTCCAATCTAAACCTACCGTCTTTGAGTTTGAAACCATTCTCCCTTGTCTTGTCACTACATGCTCTTGAAAATAGTCTTCATCTTTTTTACAGTCTCCTTTCAGGTACTGAAAGGCTGCATAAGGTCATCCTGAAGTCTTCTCTTTTCCGTGCTGAACAATCCCAGTGCTGGATGACTGTCAGACTCTCACTCCATCAGGGAAGAAAACTACTTCTTATACCATAACAGCACTTCTTGTCTAACAGGCTTTTTAACTCACTGTGCTTCCAGAGCTACACATGATTGAATGGGCCTGTTGGCCCATAACCAAAAGGACCTATTCAGCGTGAAGTCTGACAAGACTTGCGTAGGATACATGTATTTCCTGGAGAAGTTCTTCATAGAGGTAACCAAAGAAGAAACTAGAAATATTTTGAACTCATTTTTACTTATTCTTGACAATAATCAGTAAAGAACAAGTAATTATTGCTAATGCAAACTCTTAAACCTTTTTTGAAACATGACTATGGCACTTGGTGGGATCACAGGAATCACTGTCAATAAAACAATTGAAGTAACAATCCCTGCTTTTAAATGAGAGAGAATTTAGTGTAGTGCTCTGTTCCAGAATACATATCTCTCTTTAGCTGGGCCCAATTAAGGTTTTGTTCTTCTGAATTACACTGTTAGACTCTTCAATTCTTATGGCTTTATTTTTTCCTATTGAGAAGACTATGCTGTCTACAAAAAAGGGAAGAGTCACTGTGTAGACTGGGAAAAACAAAATGTTAAAAGTTTTACTGAGATAGAACTCTGTTAAAAAATATTTGAAAAAAGCAAAAAGCTCAGAAAAGTCTTTGAAGTGATTAAATAAAAGCCTGTGCATTTTATTATCAACATTGCTAGCAATAATCATATTAGATTTACTAAGCATTACATCAAACCTAGATAACGAAATGAGAAAGAAGAGCTAAATGGGGTCTACAATATCTATCCAGGTTTTTGCTATTTGTATATGAAAACAAGAGCATGCTTTAATTTGGAAAAGATCTAATCTAGGTAGCATTTCCCCTCAGTGTTTTACGTATAAATATTTTAGAGTATATCAAATACTACATCGTATTGTGACAAACAACACACATAATGTACTAATTTATTATTGGAATTTATATTCTGTGAAGTTCTTATTTGGAATGAAAACAAAATTCAGCATTTCCACATAAAAAGTATTTTAACAGAATAATAATTTCAATTTGTGATTAACTCTAATGTATGTACTTGTGATTTTGAAATCAATGTTTATGGTTAAGTTCATGGTAACAGAAGTTTAGGTCAAATACATTTAAATCATATGCTTTGGTTTTTCTAAAATTGCTGATACACGTACAAGGTACTTCTTTACTTGTTAGTGGTATTTCATCCTACTTGTAAAACTATTTTTTTGTACAAGGTTCTCTTTAGTACTGCTTCTGCTTCTTTTTCTGCAAGATCTATCTTCCATTTTGCATTTGTTCTCAAGCATTTAAAATCTGTATTTTAGATTTATAGATCTAATTGTGTTTCCACCTTTACAATTGATAATTGCAGGAAACAATACATAGGTAGAACTAAAAGACAGCTATCCAAATGTCCTTATAAAGACAGGAATTTAAACCTTTTAAGATACAGTTGTCAGGAGTCTCAAAACCAGGTTTGGATTAAGCAGGAATCTTCATTAATTAACTTCTACCAAACTATAATTTCAGCTAAAATATGTCATTCTACCCATTTAAGAATCTGCTGTGACCCTGCATTTTTATATGCACTTACTAGTCAGTGACACGAGCCAGTTTCATGTTGATTTTTTGAAGACTCTTTCATATTGTTAATGGTTAGCTGTACCATTTGCCCTGGATATTCTCATTGTGAATTAATAAAACTCTCTGAAGAGAAGCAGGCACAAAACTTCCAGCAGTATGCTCATTCCCTACTGGAGGGAATGTAGTCCTGCTGAAGAATGGGCTGTGAGGAAAGTCATTGGCTTACACCCAGCTTCAGGGTAATCCAGCATCTCTGCTGACAGGACAGTATGACTCCTGCTTGTCTAATTAATAATGATATCCAGGTTAAGTGAGAGTAATAAATTTGTCTAAGGGAACCAAGCATGGCTCATTAGGCAAATCCTTTCAAATTAAAGCAGAATGCTTCTTTATGACTAAGTAGTGACATTGCCCTCTTCTTCTGCAGCCTTTTCTTTTTTGAAAGGCTGCTCTCTCCAGAAGCATCACTGTTCCTTTTTTATTGCTGGTATATTTTCATTTTAAGTATGATGATTGCATTAAATACTCATATTTTGGCTACTATTTAAATCTGCTAAGATGCATGGGACCCTCTTGTGATAGTAAGAGCTGAGTTGTTCTATTCTACAAAGCTCTGTGCAATGGAAAACAAAGCTTGGTCTACCACTGTCATGCTCGTGGCATGACTTCTACCCATAAGGTGCTCAAGTATGGAATTCTGGTTTACCTGTGAAGTTATATATAGAGTAATTTGACAGTGGAACTGCAAGCAGTTTTTGACATGAACATGTCCTATCAAGGTTCAAACCTAAATTCTCAGAAGATAAAAAGAATTTTGTCATCAATTCAAAAGTGCAATAACTCCAAGGTTGTAAAATCTAATCATTTTGTACTCGTGTCCTTCAGTGCCCTGATTATTTCCCTGTTTCTGCCTCCCTTCACTTGTCAGTTCTGTCTACATAAACATACACCCTTCTTTCTAAGGGCTTCTAATGATCTACTTCTTTATCTGGAATTTCGGGAACACTTTGCTTGAGCATCACCATTAGTTGCTATGGTGATGGTTCTAATAGCATTACAGGCATCAGGGAACAGATTCGCTCCAGAGTGAAAAAAAAGATACTGTTTCCCCAACATATCCTCATTAATCAAGTCACAAAACAAGAATTACCCATGCAGGCATGCATGTGTTTGTACATAGC